CTGGATGAGTGGAGAGAGACACCCGGCTCGGCAGCGCAGACAGCGAGTGCTCGCTTCCCCCTGGCCTGGAGCCCTTTATAGCCGGGGCTGGAGGCGTTGCCGGCGCTTTTTTTTCTGTTGCATTCCCGATGATTTTCATCACTCCTAAAATCTGAGCCAACTTCCAGAATCGTCATTTTGCACCTTTGTTCTGTTTATGCTTTTTGTCATATTTCTCTAGAAACTTTTTATCTCACAAAGGGCCTCTTTATGCTTCTTCCGTTTCCAAGTAAATAGTCAGGTGTGATTCAAAGTAGGAGGCTCCTTGCTCAGGGCTACATTTTAATACTGCTTTCTACTGTTAGCTCTGAAACGGAGCTACTCAGACAGCATTTTGCTCGAGTAAGTCACCCTCTCTTTTGCTGCATCTTTTTGTCCCAGCTACTCCAGTCTCCTGTCTCTGCTTACACACGGCGCACCCGCAGCGACAGCCACCGTGTCGTGGAGCCCTGAATGCACATCGGCAGTCCTGGGGTACAATGGTGCTAGAAGGAACTTGGCTACCAATCCTGGAAATACAAGTCCTCTCGTTTATCCACAGAGAGAGGGATGTTCTCTAATGAAAAAGCAATTAAAAGGGAGTTCATGCTTCAGGGCTCATTCAATTCTTCACTTCGCTTCAGAGACCACCCAAGAGTGGAGGAATATGAAAAGGCAATAAGCAGTGGATGTTTCGTGGTGTTCTTTGTGAACGAGAGCCTAGCAAACCATTCAGAAAGGGCAGGGTCTGGCTACTAGCTGGCATAACTTAAACATTATGAGATGCTCCAGGAAAAAGTGTGGAATAGCATAAAGTAGATGAAGGATGTAAGGAAAAAAGCTCCTGGTCTCTCAGCGCTGTGACCGAGAGCGCAAAGTTGACAGTAGCATAGGTTAGCAGCTAATGCTAACGATGTTTTCTGTGATTAACCTCTCAATCGTTTGCGACCAGGGAGGGCAACTTCAGCGTGAGTTTGGAGTTTACAGCTCCCACGTAAACAGAGCTTCAGGAGAGATATCGGTTGCCCCTGAAGAGCAAAAAGGCTCAAAAAGTGAGTGCACCAGGCATGGTCGAGCTCCGCCGTCTGTTTTCCGTGCTGGCCTGCATCGCGGGCAGAAACCACAGATCTGAGTGTCACTAGCTAATAATGCAGGGTGTGGAGGAGAAGGTATTTCTCATGTGTGTGCATGGTGAGTCGTTTGACTGTCTTCGCAGACAGGCCCCAACAACCCCCTCCCAACAGCCAAGTGCTTCCTTAGATCGTTTGCCAAAGGAGGGGGGAAAGAGCATGCAAATAAGCAACAAAGGTACATTTCTGAGTGGCTGTAAAGGGCATGACTCCCTCCCCTCTATCTGAAGAAAGCTGGAAATGATACAGGAGTGGGATGTGTCCTTGGAATAGCAGGAGCTGGCTGCTATGGAGGAGCACAGCTAGCGATGTTCCCATTTGCCACTGGTGAATGGAGACAAGTCCGTACGACTTGGAGAACGGGAGAACTGGAATCTCCACCCTGTTTGCTCTGGCCGGAGGACGGGTTCAGTCTCCTGGCGGCAGCATCTTCTTGTCGCGTGAGCGCCAGGAGACGGGGTGCGGAGCCAGCGGACGCCCACTTTCTGCTCACCTTCCCCAGGTGCGGATGGCAGAGGCGCAGCAGCGTGGGGGCAGCTGGGACGTGCAGCTCCGTGGAATGTGCTCTCTCGTCTCCCTTTCCTCGCCTTCACCCGGCTGATGCAAAAGGCCAGAACTCGCGGGTTGTCCCCGTGCAAGTCCAAACCCTCAGCCTTGACATGAGCGAAGCCTGTCAGACCGGGCAGCCAGCAGCAATGATCGGCTTCCCACAGACAGGCTGTGGGATGAATGACTGTCACAACGGTACAGGGTTAACAGCATATTCTTTCTTTACATGAATTTGCCTTTTCTTTCATCTTTTATTTCCTATTTAACCGCTGTGTCATAAAAATACACGTTGCTCAAAATATCTATTATATTTTGATAATACCACAAGGCAGCAATTAAAACCATGAGGTGTTAATTAAGACTTAAAACAGCATATTGAAAATTCTAAGACATTATTTACATGACCTCCCATTGAACACAACCACAAATGACTGCATATTATTTGTATCGCACTCTCTTTTAAATAAAAGGCTGACTATTAAATCAGATTCTGCCTCTGTTTCATGAGCACATGCACATTATGAGCCTATTTTTTATACATTTCAAATCAGAATGCCAGTTCTATGGCATAACAGTAATTTTATGGTAGCACGTTGGTGTTTAAACATGCAATTCTGTCTTACTTCAGGAGGAAAACGGAGATGAAGTTGTGGCTCCAAACATACATATCAGCAGACCTGGTAGATGAAAATACCTGTACAAAAGCACTTCTCTGTTTATTTTAGTGCACTTATAAAGTTTCAAATTAGTATCAAATTATCATAGGAAGGTTCCCTAAAATGAGCTGCAAAGCCACACCGCAACGTCTCTTTCTAAAGCGGTCTTTTATGTCAGATTAACTCAGTGTAGCCTGAGAAGTCAAACCGTCTTTCTGGAACAAAATACCACTTTCTGAAACCTGCCTCAAGCTGCCGCTGCCTGTCTGCATAAGCCACCACCTGCAGCTCCCTCCTCAACGGGTCTCCTAAGGTCGGGATTAATTATTAATGCTTAAGGCAGGAGAGAGCCAACATCTGTTTTCCACACCTCCCTCACAATTTGCAGTAGCAGGAGTAATTAAAACAGGGGGTTTTGTTAGCAAAGATTATTTGTTGTTTCTATAGCAACATGGGTGTGCCCAGACTTTTCCAGGAGAAAAACATAAAGCACGGATGAATTCCTGCGAGGCACCTTCAGCATCCCCATGCCGGGTGTCGCAAGGGTGGCAGTCGGAGGGGCACAACCACCGCTGGTTGTTCAGAGGAGCTGCGAGAGGTGTTGATGGTCCCTGCACCATCCATGGGGGGAGCGGGGGGCCCCTAAGGGGTGACCTGGGAAGCCCCAAGTGTTAACTGTAGGCTGTGTCTGCCCCTACCCTTAGGCACCTGAGCTCTGGCTGCACAATGCCTGCCCTCATCCAGCCCCGGGGCACGGAGCACCCTGCTGGGGCACCCCATCCAGCCCCGGGGCACGGAGCACCCCGCGGGGGCACCCCATCCAGCCCCAGGGCACGGAGCACCCCGCGGGGGCACCCCTCGGGCTCATTCGGGGGTGCGGGAGCAGAGAGAGCGCAGTCTGTAGGACTGCAGAGATGCTGTGGCTGGAAGAGCCTCGGGTCAGGAATCGTGCCCTGTTATTTGCTTGTGGCCCGTCCACGATGCACCACGAGGGCGTGCAGTGGCAGAGCAGTAGGAGCCGTTCTCCGGACCGCAGCACTCCTTTACTGGGTTGTGTTTATGTGTCCTTTGGTGGAATCTGAGTGGAAAGGAGCTCACTGTTCACCAGCAGTGAGCTTCAAAACCAAAGCCATGCCTACCGCAAGTCAGTGGATGCTGGGAGTACTTTAAGCCGGCTCGCGCAGGGCGGCAGCGCTCAGGGCGGCTGCACAGGGGGCACGGGGCAGCTGATGCCCTGCGCGTGTCGTGGAGGATCTGCTCTGCAGGGACGGGGGGTTACAGCCCCAGCCGACACCGGGCAGAGCTGCACGGCTGCAGCATGGGGTGCCTCAAGACGGTGCATCCCTGCCCCGGCTGCCTCGGCTTGTGGTGCAGATGATGCACTGGGGGGATGCTTTCAACACTTTGAAAAAAACCTGAATTCTCACTTATCTCCCCATAAAATCCAGGCAGATTTTCTGGAAAGGGGTCTTAGAACTGTGTGGCCAGCTTACACACATTCAGTAGTGTTTCTCTGAATCATCCCATTGATTTAGAAGTTGGATTTATGAAGTAATAAATGTGGCAGAATCCAGCCAAGAATGTGTCTGAACTGGCTTTCCAGGAACGGCTGGGCCAGCTGACGGCCACGTGAACTGCCGCGTCAGGAGCAGCCGCTGACAGCCAGGGAGTGCCAGAAGGAACTCCCCAGAGAGGTTTCATCTTTCTGCTTGTATAGACCCTACCCACCACTTACCATCACTTGTTTTCCTCATCCTTGAGCCGTGCCTTTGGAAGCAAGAATCAAACTAAGCTGAGTTTGCATTCCCAGAGGGGCGTCAGCCAGTGTATCCCTGCCACATCTACGGCTTAATTTCATTTTACCACAAAGCTTGTTAGCTGGACTGCATGGCAGCAGCTGGGGCAGAGCTGGGAAGGGAGCCGTTTGCAGGGTCCTGGCTGCACGACCTGATTTTTGTTCACTTTCTTGCTTGGACTCGCTGAGTTAAAAGCTTCAGCTCTGCTGTTGCTTTATGTTGCAGCCGGGGAAGCTGCACTGTGCCCCGACCTGGAAGTCACAGTGCCAAATCTGCGATGATGTACAAAGACCCTCACAAGCTTCACCTCCCATGACCATGTCATCAGTTCCTTTCTAGACCTCCACCCACATCAGCTGTCTTCACCAAAGCAGCCAGGTCTCGGGTATTACAGAAGCGTAGGTGTACTGGCCCCACCGTCTGGGTACCAAAGATGGAGAATATTACTCCTTCCAGAGAGGAGCTTTGTCCTGCAGCGCTGGGAGTGGGACAGCCTGGCTCTTCAGAGCAACAAGACAAGTCGCTGGTTTGCATGAGTGCAAATAAAAGCTTTATTTGATTTCTGAGCGTGGCACAGCGCTTAGAGAAAGGGTGAGGGAAGCAGGGGTGTGATCATAGAATGCTTTGGGATGAAAGGGACCTTTCCAGGCCATCCAGTCCATCCCCCTGCCATGGGCAGGGACATCCTCAACCAGATCAGGTTGCTCAGAGCCCCGTCCAGCCTGGCCTTGAATGTTTCCAGGGATGGGGCATCTCCCACCTCTCTGGGCAACCCCTTCCAGTGTTTCACCACCCTCATAGTGAAAAATTTTTTCCTTGTGTTCAGTGATAAAAAGAGAAGCTGCGTTTCGTGATCTGCACAGCCACAGCGCATAGGCTGGGATCTTCTTTTGCTTTGCTATGCGAGGCTTGCAGCAAAGCAGGCCGCCGTCTCAGCGGGCAGCCTGGGTGATCTGCTCCCGGGAGGAAATCACCTTCCCGTCCTGCACTTCCTCAAAGATTGTGCGGATTTGACGGGTGGTTACGGGTGCTGCAATGGAGAAAGAAGGAACCGTTATTTACAGGGAAGCAAGGAGAAGGCGTCTTAAAGATTTTCACGGGTAGATTTGTTATTACCAACAACTGCCTCAGAAACCCAATATAACCACCACATTCCTACCCCTAAATGCTTTATTATATAGTTTCAGTCTGCACAGATAATCTTCTGAAACATGTTTTGGTATATCATAAGAGTGGTTTATGTCAATTCACATTTTGAAAATATAATAAAATAGTAATTTTAGTGAATTAGCAAAAAGAGTCTGTGCTAAGAAGGTGGCTAAGGATATGACAGAGCTATGTGTGATCAAGACATGTTCTTACCTTCTTTCACAGGCTGCGAGATGTAGTGGGAAGACATGCTACAGGAGGAGAAAAGAGAAAGAATGGTCAGAGACATGAAAAAAGTGAGTAGCCTCTATGACAAAATCATTACTTAAACCCCTGCCTTTTCTTCTTGTACCAGTATGTGATTAAAATGTCTTCTGGAAACTGCCTAGTGTCGAAACTGAAAGGAAGAAAATGCTAGGGATGTATGTGTGCCATGGGGATCCAGACATAAAAGCAGCACGCATCCCAGCTGCAACGAGCAGCAGCGGTACCTGCTCCTTCCCCAGGGTCACCCAGACACTGGAGGCATGGGAAGTGGATCCCGGGGTGCTGCAGCGCTCTGATAACCGCTGGGCTGCTGGACTAGTAGGGCCGTAAAGGGAGACCCTGCTGCATGCCATGGGTCAGGAAACGGGCTGACAGGGTCCCCCAGGGAATGCAGGTTGTTCATTTTTTATTTCCTTCTCTATGACCCGTCCCCTCCCGATGTGCCCTCCCAAGAGAAGTCCCTCTACGTACTGGGCGTCCTCGCCCTCCAGGAGCCGGCGGTACGTGGCGATCTCCTGCTCCAGGCGGCATTTGACGTCCAGGAGGACCCTGTACTCATGGTTCTGGCGCTCCATGTCACACCGCAGCTCGGCCAGCTGCTCCTCCACGCTGGTGATCAGCCCCTGCAGCTGGGCCAGCTGGGTGCCGTAGCGGGCTTCTGTGTCGGCGAAGGTGCCCTCCAACGCCGCTTTCTGCGTGCAGGGGAGAAGGACACGTTCAGGGGGGACGGAGGGCAGGAGGGATGGGAGCACCCGTGCGTCCCCTGGCCCACGCTCCTGCGTGCTCCCCACCCCGCAGGGAGCCAGCCCCTCGTACCGTGCTGAGCTGGGACTGCAGGTCGATCTCCAGGCTCTGGATGGTGCGTCGCAGCTCTGTGATCTCTGTCTTGCCACTCTGAAGCTGCTCCGTGTTGATGGCCACCTCCCGGTTCAGCTCTTCCGTCTGCAACAAGGCAAACCCATGCTCTTACAGCACCGGCGAGCGGGCACAGCCTCGGGTCCCACGTTCCCCACTGCGCTGCCGGCGAGCCCGCTCACCTTGGTGCAGAAACACTGCACTGCGCTGCCGGCGAGCCAGCTCACCTTGGTGAAGAACCACTGCTCGGCCTCCCTGCGGTTCTTGTCCGCCAGGCTCTCGTACTGCTCCCTCATCTCAGCCAGGATCTTGGTGAGGTCGATTCCAGGAGCAGCATCCATCTCCACGCTGATCTCTCCACCCACCTGGCTGCGCAGGGCATTCATTTCCTGGCAGAAAAGAGAAACACATCTTCATGCAATCCAACAATCAGCATATAAGGATGTTCCTCCCAAGACAGAGTTCTTCAGGAAAGATAGCATCCTTTGGCAGGTATTTCTGGGGCTGACCAACAGGGAGCAAACTGGTGCCTTTGCTCCACAATCACAAATAAAATAACCCAAATTGTCAAGAAATCTCCATTTGAGTTAAATCTGGGTTTCTTCAGGGAATAAATCAGAGCATGTAGCTGGCTTCGTTTCTCAGGAGACAGACCTTCCAGGCCTGAAGCTGCCAGGATTGTTAATGAATCTCTAACAGCTACAGTGGACATGACTGAAATAACAAGCGGTGAATGGTTTTATACAGACTCTGGAGAGGATGCGCTGTTATCCAGAATGCATCATCTCTACTTCCTTGCCAGCACTTCTCCTCTTCCCTCCCAGCAGTTCGAAACTCAGCATAGTCTTAAAGGCTGGACCAGACCTCATATTTCTGGGCCCAGGCTGGACTTTTTTGAGCCTGTCTCCGTGCTCACCTCCTCGTGGTTCTTCTTGAGGTAGGCCAGCTCCTCCTTCAGGTTCTCGATCTGCATCTCCAGGTCAGCTCTGGCCAGGGTCAGCTCATCCAGGACCCTGCGCAGGCCGTTGATGTCGGCCTCCACGCTCAGGCGCAGAGCCTGCTCGGTCTCAAACCTGGGAACACAAGAAGAGTCACAAAAGTCACGCAGGATCTTGTCCAGCCAGGGACAGAGCACCTCAGTGCTGCTGCTGTCATCGTGTCAGTACTGCGTGACCCCGATGGTGCACGGACAACGTTCTGAAGTTGAATGCTAGTGAATGCAGGGGAACAACTGGTAAATGAGTGTCCATCTGAGTCCGTAACATCACCTTGCTCCTGGTATCACTGGGCCTTGTTACTGGGTCTGGGCTTTGCTGAGCTGTAGACACACAAGTTAAACGCACAGCAGAGGCACCGTGCAGGTTCTCTGCGCAGGAGAGGTCGTACCACAGAGCAACAAGCAATGGGAATAAAATAGTGAAGTGAAACAATCCCTAAATGCCTATAGATTTAGATAACCTACTGCTTTGGAAATGACACCTTCGTTTGGAAGGCTTTGTTTCCCAATGGCCCTTTTGGGTTTTGGATGGGATTTTCTCCTCATTTCATCAAATGTCTCTGCAGACTTTGTTCCATTTTTCCAGGAAATGTGGCTTACTTGGTCCTGAAGTCATCAGCTGTCAGCCTGGCGTTGTCAATCTGCAGGAGGAGTTTAGCATTGTCGACTGTGGCCATCAGGACCTGGAGGGGGGAGGATAAAGAAAAAGCACTGAGTGAGTGTCAGGAACTCCTCCTGGCTCACCAAGGGATGGGAGCACAGGTGAGGCTGTCGGGACAGGAATAGTTTTGGGGAAGCTTGGGGTTTCCTTAGCAGAAGTGTGTACTGAATCAGGACAAGTGAGACACAGCTGAGACGGACTGCAGGAAGGGGCTGATAACTCTGTGACCTCCCTTTCCAAAAATCCTTCAGTAAGTATTTCAAAAGGCAGCATGAAGCCACGTCAGATGTGTGAGAATTGACGACAGCGTTTGTTCCCATGCTTCAGGGCAGGTGCCGATTATGCAAGGGTCAGGAAGGAATCACCTGCTTCCCCATCCACAGCACCGTGTGGCTCTTCTGGCCGGACAGATGGACCAGCAGGGTGCTTGTGCTTGGCAAACCTTGTGCCATTTGTTTAGGGATGGATTTAATTTTTTGACTGCAGAAATGGAGAAAAATGCAGTGAGCAGGTGCCTGCAGCTTCTGATTTTTATATTACAAAACCAGGAGCAAATAATCCACGCTAGGAGAAGATTCAGGTCAGAGTTTGGGAGGACATCAGTTATGGTGCCAAGGAGAGGGAGGGAAAATGGATTCCCTGCATCATTTGCCAGCACTCCTGCAGCTCCAGCTGTGCGCAGCCTTCCTTCATGTTTACTGGGGGCAATTCACGTGTAAGAAGTAACAGAGAAGAACAAAGTCAGCTCTTGAGTATTTCCTCCAAAATGGAGTGGTGGGAATCACATCAGAACCGAGAGGAATCCCCCCAGAGCTGCCTGGGTTGGTGGGTTTGCAGCAAGCCCGGCCCTGGGGCAGTGACTTCCAAAGGGAGGCGAAAAACTCGTTATTGGTCAGTTCCGTCTTTTTCTCTTTTATCTAAATCACATCAATACCCAGGAGCTGAAACAAGCTTGCAAATTCTTTGACTGAATGTTTACAAATATCACATCAATGTTTCACAGTTCACGCACACCTACAACTTTCCCTGCGTACTCATTTTAAACTCTCAAAAAATTTGCAGACTTGTCTCTTATTCTTCATTTCTGCGTTACATTCTTTTACATCTGTTTCTTCCAGTGAAAACTGCCGTTTGTTCCATCTGGAAGGATGCAATCAAAAGCTGACATTGAGAAATCTCTGAATTTCCAGCCTGGCGCTCTGCATGTGCATCTGAGACACTTTTCGCGACAAAGTCAGTGCTTACTCATTACAGAGGCAGCAGCCAGTGTTTCTGCTTCCTCTCTGCTAACAAGATATCCCACTGTGTGAATCACAGCATCCTACCTTGTTCCTGAGCTCCTCGATAGTCCTGTAGTAGGGGCTGTAGTCGCGGTCTGGACCAGGTGCCTGCTTCTTGTACCATTCCCTGATCTTGACCTCCAGGTCAGTGTTGGCCTCCTCCAGGGCACGCACTTTGTCCAGGTAGTTAGCCAGGCGGTCGTTGAGGTTCTGCATCGTCTCCTTTTCGCCAGCCAGGAGGATGCCATCGCCACCTCCAAAGCCACCTCCAAAGCCACCTCCAAAGCCAGCTCCAAAGCCAGCCCCATAGCCAGCCCCATAGCTAGCCCCAAAGCCGCCGCCGAGGCCC